ATGATCTATCTAAAATGCCAAATCTGATTATCTTTTCACACTCCTCAACTCTCTCAACTTACAGACTGCATTTGACACTACTAACTATGCTTTCCCCCTTGATATTCTCAAATCTCAGGATTTTGTGACACCACACTTCCTGGTTCTCCTCCCACTTGTCTAACTGCTCTTTCTCAGTCTCCTTTGAAGGCTTTTCATTTATATCATGCCACCTAACTGTGGGTGGTCCCTAAGGTTGTCTTCTAAGCCCTCCTCACTTCTTCCTGTCAGTAACCTTATGAGGTCCCATGGGTTCAACTATCATCTCAAAGCTTATGACTCAAATACAATTACATATGTATACATGTATATATATATGTTAATGTTTTATTTAATATTTAATATTTTAATGTTGTATGTGTTGTATATCCAGTGGGTTTCAATATTTCAAACTGGATGTCTCCTAAACAACTCAAACTCAACATGTCTAAAATTCAACTCATCATTTTCCTCCAAAATTTCCCTTCTTCCCAACTTTCCTATTTCCATCAAAAGCACTATTATCCTCTCATTCTCTCTGGCTGCCCTTCATGCCAGTAATTCTCTCCCTCCTCATCTTCAACCTCCTGGCTTTCATTTTCAAGTCCCAGCTAGAATCCTACCTTCTATAGAAGCCTTTCCCAATCTCCCTTAAGTCTAGTGCCTTTTCTCTATAGATTATCTTCTTTATCCTGTATGTATCTTCTTTTACATAATTTGTTTACATGACATCTCCTCCATTAAGCTTCTTAAAAGCAGGGACTGGTTTTTTGTTTGGTTGTTTGGTTGGGTTTTTTGTTTTGTTTTGTTTTTTGCAGTTCTTTGTATCCCCAGCACTTAGCACATTGTCTGACACATAGGAAGACTTTTATGAATGTTTTATTGATTGATAATTATTGTTTATGGATTCAGAGACAGTAGAGTTGAAAGAGGCTTAGGCTCTATCTAGACCAACCTACTTGCCATTTGGTAAAAGAACTCCCTAACAGCTTCTGCTTGAGTGTTTCTGGTGAGCACTTCATTTAAGCATGAAGTAGCCTGCTATTAGGCTATATTTGTATGTATCACTAACTCTGGTCTTGCTTCTGGACTCATACTGGCATAGCAGGCTAATTCCTCAGAGGACAGTTACTACTTCTCCCATAAGAAGTCACAGAGTGAGCATTGTGGCTTCTTTTAAAAGTCCCATTAAGACTGGAGAAGATGTGGGAAAATTGGAACACTAATGCATTGTTGGTGGAGTTGTGAACTGAACCATTCTAGAGAGCAATTTGGAATTATGCACAAAGAGCTACAAAAATGTGCATATCCTTTGACCCAGCAATACCACTTCTAGGTCTGTATTCCAAAAAGATCATAAAAATGGGGAAAGGAACCACATGTACAAAAATATTAATAGCAACTCTTTTATGGTGGCAAAGAATTAGAAATTGAGGGGATGCCCATCAATTGAGGAATGGCTGAACAATTTGTGGTGTATGAATGTAATGGAATACACTGCTGCGTATAAGAAATGATGAGCAGATGGACTTCAGAAAAACCTGTAAAGACTTATATGAACTGATGCTAAGTGAAGTGAGCAGAACCAGGAGAACATTGTACACAATCACAGCCACAATGTGATGACTAACTTTGATAGACTCATTTCTTCTTAGCATTGCAAAGATCCAAGACAACTCCAAAGGTCTTATGGTCAAAAATGCTGTCCACATACAGAAAAAGAACTATGGAGTCTAAACACAGATCAAAGCATATTATTTGTTCTCTCTCTTTTTTTTTCTTTTTTCTTTTTGTTTGTTTCTTCTTTCTCATGATTTCTCCCATTGGCTCTAATTCTTCTTTACAACACAACTAATGTGAAAATAGGTTCAACGTGAATGTATATATAGAGTGTATATCAAATTGCACACTAACTTGGGGTGGGGGAGGGGAGAGATGGGGAGAAAATTTGGAACTCAAAATCTTACAGGAGTGAATGTTGAAAACTAAAGATAAATAAATAATTTTTTAAAAATGTTTTTAAAAAGAGGCCCATTAAGGAGCTCCAAGCATTTCACTTCTTGCGAATTGATTGTGAATATCTTCACCTCTAGTTTTTGATTAAGAGGGTTTAATTCCATAACTCAATCAAAGAGGAAGGCCTTCTCACCTGATGAAGGTATCAGTGCAGAGAGCATTCTGATAGTTACATTCATTAAGATTTGAGGTATGAAACCTCCCTCTATCATGATCCTGCTGTTCTCTGCCCTGGTCAGACCACACCTAGAGTGTCATTCTATTCAAAGTACCACATTTTAGGTAGAACACTAGTAACACTGAGATTGTCCACAGTAGAACAGCCAGGATGGAAAGTGGTCTCAAATTGATGCATCATGACTATTGAAATTATGCATTATGCATAATGCATTATTACTATTATATTATGCATTATTACTATTATAATTATTCTCTAGATGGAAACATAGAGAAGACTTGAAAGGACCATTAAATTGGAACCACTCACTGCAATAATTAGAGTGAGGGCTCCCTGACAACAAGGAATCTAAAAGTGAGGAGGAGGCCTGAGCAGTTTCTCCTACTCATTTGGTTCCTTCATTTGGCAATAAATGTCTGTCCAAATGAGTGATTATGTGGTAGCCCAAGCATCCACTAGGAAGGGGGAAAAGAAACCCACATATAACCTGTATGACCAAAGGAGATTTATTAAAGGATGTATTTTGTAGCAGCCAGAGATGAAAATAGAATGCTGTGGGCCCAAAATCTGTATCTGTATTAGGGTGATGGTGTGGCAATTCCAGACTGGAGTGATGGAATAGCTCCAAAGATGGCTTCCCAACTTTCCCTTTAAAAACATGTTTTCAGTTTGTTTTTTTCATTGTCATAGTTATCCTCAGTATCCTCTCTCAGAGGACACCTTCCTCTCCCAGAGAGCCATTCCATATACCAAAAAGTATTTTTTTAAGAGGAAAAAGATCCACACAACTGATTGATAACTTGAAATAAGTCCCTTTGGATCTCCCACCTCCAGGAAGGGGTGGATTAGGGGTATCTTCTCATATCTTTTCATTTGAGATATTCTTGAACTTGATAATTTTGTTACATTCACTTTTGAATTTTTTGGTGTACAGTTGTCCTTTCCATTTCCATTGTTGCGGTTATTGACTATATTGTTCTTTGACTGCTTACTTCACTCTGCATTAGTTCATATAGTTCTTTCCATGTTTCTCTGTATTTACCTCTGTCTCTCTGTGCACATTTAGAAAGAATTCTCTTACTGGCCTCTCTGCTGTCACCTTCTATTGCTGCTGCTGTCCTTGCCTGATGCATTTATTCACCATGTCTGCATTTCTTCTAGAGTATTCAAAAAGCAAACAATTTTCTCAGGTTTGGTTTTCTTTCTAAAATGTTTCAAGTGCCTCTTTATTATTGAATATACTTTTTTTTTTCATTTATGGCCAATCTCAGATTTACAGGGTAGGTTACCTTGGGCTATAGCCTAAGCTCCATTTCTCTTTAAAACACATTATTCCATTCCCTCCTGAGATTTCTAGTAGGTGCTGAAGTCTTGTGTCACTCTAATTTCCTTTCTTTTGTATTTTAAGGTCTTTATCCTGATTATTTGCTGAAATTCTTTCTGGATTGAGTTATTAAATTGAACTACTATATGTTTTGGAGTTTGCAGCCTTAGGTTTTTTTTTTCTGAAGGAAATCTAGGAATTCTTTCAACTGATATTTCATTTTTTATGGTCAGAAGTTCTGGGCAGATACCAGTCAAACTACCAAAATTATTTTATACAGCTAGAAAAATAATAACAAAGTTCATCTTGAAGAACAGAAAGTCAAGAATATCAAGGGAATTCATGAAAAAAATGCAAAGGAAGGTGGCATAGCAGTACCAGATCTAAAACTATATTATAAAGTGGCAATCATCAAAACTGTTTGGTAAAGTCTAAGAAATGGAGTGGTGGATCAGTAGAATAGATTAGGTACACAAGACATAGTAGTAAATTACTATAGTAATCTACTTTTTGATAAGCCCAAAGACTCCAGTTTCTGGGATAAGAACTCACTATTTGAAAAAAAACTCAATATTTGACAAAAACTTCTGGGAAAACTGGAAAATTATATGGCAGAAACTAGGCATAGACCAACATATTACACTGGATACCAAGATAAGGTCAAAATGAATACATGATTTAAACATAAAGAGTGATACCATAAGCAAATTAGGAGAGCAAAGAATAGTTTACCTGTCAGATCTATGGAGAAGGGAAGAAATTATGACCAAATGAGATAGAGAAAGGTTTTGCACAAACAAAACTAATGCAACCAAGATTAGAAGGAAAACAGAAAGCTGGGAAACAATTTTTATTGACCTCATTTCTCAAATATATAGAGAACTGAGTCAAATTTATAAGAATATAAGTCATTCCTCAATTGACAAATGGTCAAAGGATATGAATAATTTCAGATGAATAAATTAAAGCTATTTATAATCATATGAAAAGATGCCCTAAATCACTATTGATTAGAGAAATCCAAATTAAAACAACTCTGACCTTACACCTATCAGATTGGCTAATATGACAGAAAAGGAAAATGATAAATGTTGGAGAAGATGTGGGAAAATTGGTTCCCTAATGCACTGTTGGTGGAGTTGTGGAGAGGTGGAGCTATGTAGAACAATTTGGAACTATGCATAAAGGGATATAAAAGTGTGCATACTCTTTGATCTAGCAATACCACTACTAGGTCTGTATCCCAAAGATATCATAAAAAAGGGAAAAGGGAACACATATACAAAAATATTTGTAGCAGCTCTTTTTGTGGTGGCAAAGAATTGGAAATTGAGGGGATGCCCATCAGTTGGGGAATGGCTGAACAAGTTGTGATATATGAAAGTAATGAAATACTATTGTGCTATAAGAAATGATGAGGCAGTTGCTGCCTGGGAGTTTCTCTTCCTTTATCTCCAGTCCCCCATGGCCTCACAGAACCATGACCTGGCTGCTGCCAGTGCCACCACCGCCACCCATAAGGGGGCCAAGCCTGGGTCTGGTGTTACTCGTGGGTTCGTGGGCAAGAGGTTACAGCAGGAATTGATGACCCTAATGATATCTGGAGACAAAGGAATTTCTGCCTTCCCAGAGTCAGACAATCTCTTCAAGAGGGTTGGGACCATCCATGGGGCAACTGGAACAGTATATGAAGACCTAAGGTACAAACTCTCCCTTAAATTCCCCAGTGGCTACCCATATAATGCTCCCACTGTGAAATTTGTCACACCTTGTTACCACCCTAATGTGGATACCCAAGGCAATATCTTTTTGGACATTTTCAAGGACAAGTGGTCAGCTCTGTATGATGTCAGGACCATCCTGCTATCTATCCAGAGCCTGCTAGGAGAACCCAGCATTGACAGCCCATTGAACACATATGCTACTGAACTTTGGACAAACCCCATAGCCTTTAAAAAGTACCTGCTGGAAACCTACATGAAGCAGGTGACTAGCCAAGAGCCCTGACCCTCGCTACCCAGCCTACCTGCCTTCATCTTGTGTATGTGTATGCGAGTGCATCTATCTTTTTCCATTCCTTGTAACCTGTCTTCCCCTCTTTTCTGTACAGGACTCAGTTTCATAGACTGTTTTCCTTTTCTTCTTTTTTTTTCTTAAACTCTAGTCCAGCCCTCAACATTGATGTATAAATAAAGTTTTGTTATTTTAAAAAAAAAAGAAATGATGAGCAGGTAGATTTCAGAAAAACCTAGAAAGACATATAAACTGATGCTAAAAGAAGTGATCAGAACTAGGAGAACATTGTACATAGTAACAGTAACATTGTACTATGATCAATTTAGCTCTTCTCAGCAAGACAATTCCCAAAGTCACATGATGGAAAATGCTATCCACATTCAGAGAAAAACTGATGGAGACTGAATTCAGATTGAAACATATTTGGGGGAGGGGGAGTTGTGTTTTTTTTTCCTTTTGTTCTGTTTCTTCTTTCACAACATGACTAATGTGGAAATATGTTTTACATTATTGCACATGTATAACCAATATCAGATTGCTTTGCCGTCTTGGAAAGGTGGAGGAGAAGGGAGAAAGAAAAATCTGGAACTCACAATCTTTCAAAAAATAAATATTGAAATTGTCTTCATGTGTAATTGGAAAAATTAAATACTACTTTACAAAAGAAGTTCTGGGCAGTTCTCTTCTATTATTAACTTCATTGTGGTATTAAAAGTTTTTTGTCATGTTTTATTCTTCTGGAAGACCTTATGTTGTCTCTATGCATCCTGTCTTCAAGATCAGTATGTTTTGCTTGAATAGTGAGTATATTTTCTTTTAATGTTCCTGGGCTTTTGTTTTGGGTTTTTTTTTTTTGTTTGTTGTTTGCTTTTCTTCTTCTTGATTGTCCTTCATTTCTATGTATTTTGCATTCCTAATCCATTGTTCTTTCTGTTGTTTCTTTGGTGAAACTTGCCATTGCAGATTCCAGTTTTTCTCTTCTGCCCATTATTTTTGCTATGTAAGTTACAAATTCTGCTCTCATAATTTTCATTTTTCTTTTAAATTATTTAGGAACAGTGTATAGTAGCTCAATGTTCTCCTCACATTGCACAGGATGCTCTGTCTCATTAAATGTTATATAATTTTCCTTTGTTTTTACTTAAAAACTATGTGTGTATATATATATATATATATATATAAAATATGTGTGTGTATGTGTGTGTGTATTATACATCCATAATAACAATAATAAAAATGAAAATGGTAATAGCTAACATTTTCATAGCACTTACTATGTGCCAGGCACTATGCTAAGCATTTTACAATTATTATCTCATTTCATCCTCACAATAACTCTGAGATATAGGTGCTAGTATTATCTCCATTTTACAGAAGGTGTAACTGAAACAAACAAAGGTTGAATGACTTGCCCAGGGTCACAAAGCTAATAAATGTCTGAGGATAGATTTAAATGTGGGTCTTCCTGACTCCAGACCCAGCATTCAATCCAATCTAGCAGGATGCCTAACATAATTTACTAGGCCTGAAGGTCATATTTCTTGTAACTATTGGGTTTTTTCCTGTCCTGATTTATCTGCTTATGTTTAGGGTCTTTGAATTTTCTTTTTCCTGACATCTTTGGTAATTTCAAACTCCATCCCACCCTCTTATTTTCCCTTATTGCTCACTTTTTGACTCTTTTCTCTGATGGTGATGATTCGGAACTGTATCTCAAAGCATCTCAGCCTCCTCCTATGCTGAGCAATTTATGGTCCACCAACCTAAGTCACCCCCAAGTGATTTTTTTGTGGGATAAAACTTGCCCCAGCTGGATGCTGAGATCTTTCCTTCAGGCTTAACTGAGTGTTACATAGCCCTGCTTTCTTCCCCTCTGCCCAGCCCCCAAGACTCCTGCCTGGTGTCCTGCCTGCCTCAATGTTCTATCCTGCTTCTTCTGTTCCTCAGTTCATTGGCTCCATAGGGGTAGTCTGGAGGGTTAAAGCCCTGGAGCCATGGCATTGGTTTCTGTAGTTTGTTTCTCTGAGGCTCTGGGAGGTATATGTGTTTGTGGAAGGGGATTTTGAGTCCCATTTCTAGCCCAGACAAGTATCCTGTCACTTTCCCTCACTGATAGCTCTCCTCCAGAGATCCTTTGGAGCACAGATTGGTGACATGGCTCTGGGTTTCTTAGCCCCCATAAGCTTCCACAGCTTTCAGCACTGCTGCACAGCGGGCTGTATAGCCCCAGCAAGCTTCTGTCCCAGAGCTGCTACAGCTCTGGTTTTGTCATAGCCCAAGCAGATTTCCACAGCCTGGAGCCAGGATTGCTGGGTCAATGATGAGAGGGTGGGGGTGGGCTTACCTCAGGGTAAGGTTGGGTTTTGTTGTGAGCCCATATGTTGGATCCCTATGGTGACTTGGGCAGCCTTGCTGCCCACACAAGAGGTGAGAGGGCCCTGAGTGAGCTCAGGGTAGGCATCAATTTGTGGGGGTTTTTAAAAAACCTTCTTTTGGATTCCAAATATCCTAAATCATGAAGGTAGCTGAAGTTGCTTTATCTTTGGCACATAATTTCTGTTTTGGGGTGGTTTGAGAAGTCAAAAGGATCAGAACATCTATCCCACATTTTGTTGTCTTATGATCCAAAAGTCCAGCTCTCCCTTTTTGTATAAGAAAAGTCCTATCTCTGATTGTATTAGACATGCTTCCTCCTTTCCCGGGAGGGGTAGGTTCCAGGATGGTGACTGGTAGGGAGCAAGATATTATCTGCTCCCTCCTGCTATCTATGCTTTTGAATGTTTAAGTACAGTAATTGGTTGAAGGAGATGAGGGAATGGGACTAGAATGTTTCCTGTTTTATCTAAGATTAGCCAAGAAAGAGGAAATGAAGGGTCATATCTATGATGCAAGATGCTATGCAAGAGTCCCAGATGGATACTTGTTCTATGAAGTTATCATTGGTAAAAGAGGGGGAGACCTTCTTAGCCAGTTTTAGAGGTGAAAACATAAAACAAAGGACAATTAACACCAAAGTGTCAGGAGAATGGTCATGGGTTACTCTCTCAAGTAAGGGATGAAAAGGCCACAGAGAGATATTTATAGGAGTTTGAGAGAGAACTAGAACCCCTTGGGATTCTACATGTGAAATGCTAACTCAGATTCTATAGAAGAGAGAGGGATAAACTCCCAATAGGCAAATATACTAACTGGACTAATAGTAATGTATAAGTGTGCATACATGCATATATTTTATAGCAATATTGATTCATTTACTTCTTCAGAGTGAAGGAGGATAACACTTGAAGTAAAACCATATTCTCATATTCATAGAAACAGATATCAGACACTGTGGTCAGCATTTCAAAAGTTTCTTTTGGCTCTGTCACAGATATGATGACAACTATACCAATAATAATAATACATGATTTGGTGGCTAGAATCATAAGTTAACAGCTCACTGTCTTTCATGAAATGACAGATGACAAATCCCCATACTACATAAATACAGATGTCAAAATGTTCTAGAGATCTCAACCAATAAACTCCACTGTTATCAGAGGATTATTACAGAAAAACTGTTGCCTAGAATCCCCCATATAATAAAAAGAATTTATTTGATTTATAAAAACTTAAGATAGACATTTTAATAGTATTTGCTATACCAAACAATCATAATCTCACAACTACATAAAACAAAAGACTTTTGAAGCATAGAGACCTGGCAGAGAAGATCAAAATCATGTCAGAGCAGGATGAGGTGCATAGAACTGTTGTCCTACCTGATACAGGAGCTGTCCTAAGGATGCCTTGTATGAGCCTACAGACAATCAGCTTACATGGGAAGACTTGTATTCAGCTAGAAAAAGCAGATTCTTTTTCCACCGGTGTAATAACCCACAAAGAATCAACTACAAAGCAATGACAGCAAAAGAAAAACTTGCTCCTGCTCTGTTTCTATTTGAACCCCATCAAAAAAGAGATGAAAATGAGGTAATGATGATGATAATGATGATGGTGATAATAACGAGCATGTAACATCATCACCTGCAACAATCTGTCCTGCAAAGGATCTCTGCAGGAAAGCCAGGAACAGAGGTGGTGATGTAATATGAGTTTATGCAGAGAATGTGCCCAGAATTCCCCTAGAAACCTTCAGAGGCTTCAAAGACAAGGTGACTCATTGCTTGGACCTTTGGGGATGACAAATTTCTTGGCTGCTTCTGGCCATGTGAGGGCTCAGCATAGAGTAGTATACAGTACCCTGCCCTTCTGTTACAGTAGGGGAATGGAGGAAATGACCAAGGGAACACTTAGGGTATATCATGTCATTCTAAAATGCCAAGAACTTTCAGCACTAGGCCCCCACATGGTCCAATCAATGAGTCAGCTTGTCCTTGGAATCCCTAGAAGTTTCTAGGGGAACTCTGGGCACATGCTCTGTAAAAACACACAATAATAACAATATTACCTCCCTCAAAGCCATATCATGGGAGGGTTAGGGAAAATGGCAAAGTGAGGGAATGCCTGTCAGTGGGATCTCTGTACTCTGAGAACACTATAGTAACTTTGAAGGTCTGGTAGGGACTCTGAAATGCTGGCCAATTAAGCTATGGTGATATTACCAATTGGGTTAGCAACCTAGCCAGTGTAAGGAAAATGCTCCCATGAATCTAAGATATAGATGGGGTAACAAAAGAATACAGATTGACCTCTCTCAAAACTATTGTGATGATTACTTTGACATGGAACAGAGAAGAGTCAAAGGTACTTTTTTGAGCACTAGTACTACCAAAAGACAAAGACACATTTGGAACAAATCAGAAATGTCAGTACCCCATACGCGGTAAATGCTTTGGTGTAGGTGATACTAGCCACTAATGTGGGCAGACCACAAGCAGATATGAAACAAAATTACCATTTCCAAGTTTTTATTGTATACTAATACTATATCATAACAAAACTGGAACTACCTTGCCAGTTATAGGAAAAACTTTATCCCAAATTTTGCC